GAGAGAGAGAGAGAGAGAGAGAGAGAGAGAGAGAGAGAGAGAGAGAGAGCAGGGGGGCGGAGGAACAGAGGGAGAGAAGGCAAAGCCTTCCTTCCCGGTACCTGATCCGGTAGCTATGGCGCGGCAGGGCCGCTGCGCTGTTCCTTCTCACCGCTGCGCTCGTCTTCTCCTCGCTGCTCGTGCTAACAATGCTGCGCTGCGCTAATCTCACTAACGCTGCCAGGCTGCGCTAATCCTGAAGACTAACTCCAACCTCACTAACTTCTAACCCCCTACTGAGGCTGGTACCCAGCCTTTTGTAGTGCTGGGCCGGCCTCCTACCTGCTGGTACCTACCGGCCTGGACCGTTGATCTGATCGATGGTCCAGATTCGAACTGGACTTGGCGCCTAAACGCGGCAGCCTCTGAACTGCGCCGCCGGTAGGTCCTATGCTGGACCGGTACCGACCTTGTGGCCGTTGGCCTGGGCCTCTGCCCCTGGCCTGTCCGAAACGCCGTGCCCCTGGCCTACCTGGGCCTCTTCTGAACCGTCGTCCCCTTAGGCCTACCCTGCCTACCTGGAACCGGGCCCTAACTGGGGCCCGTGTGGCTCAGAATGCCACACACTCCCCCCCTTGACGACCGAGCTAACTGCGAGGGCGAAGCTGTCTGTCCGATGTCCGTACGTAATGCGCGAAGATGAGGGGTGCTGTCGCCTTCAGGTCAGCTCGTGAAATCCAGCGTGTGTCGTCAGGATTGCATTGCTTAAATGTAACTTTGTACTGCCTTGGCTTGTTGCCATGCTTGCGATGCGTGAGAACGCGGTCGACCTCCTGGTGCCCATTTATTGAAGGAGGGTCGTGTGACCGTCTGCCCAAGAAGTCCGCTGCGGAGGCTGGAGTGTAGACCGCCAGCTTTGAAGAGTGAAATACAGGTTGGACCGTCAAATGCGGGGGAATCTCAATGATGAAAGATGGACCCGCGGGGTCGTCGTCAGCTGCTGAAGTGACCTTCCATGGTCCAAACCACTTACGGAGGAGCTTGCACGAGACGTGCTGCTCGAGCGCGAATTCCTCGGAGGTGACCCAAACCAGGTCGCCAGCGCGGATTGGACATGGGATGCGACGCCGGTTCGCTTGCTGCTGCATACGGACCTGAGCCTTTTGCATGTTTGCGCGGGCTTTGGCCAGCAGTTCCCTGTACTTCCGTGTAGAAGCGGGGGAGCAAGCGGCGTCGATATCGGCAGCCCGTGGAAGCAAAATGTCTGCAAAGATACATCCTTTCCGTCCACTGTGATGCAACTTGAATGGAGTCACGCTAATCGCCGGGTGCACCGAAGTGTTGTAGGCGAACTCGATGTCGGGAAGGCGGTCAACCCAGTCCTTCTGATCCGAGCGGATGAGTGTGCGGAGCATCATCTGCGCAGTCTGGTGCGCACGTTCCGTTTGCCCATCCGTTTGAGGATGCCGTGCGGAACTCGGTTTCATGTTGGTGCCGGATTCCACCATGAGTGCCGTCCAAAAGGCTGACATGAAACAAGTGTCACGGTCGTTGACGATGTCTTACGAAACGCCGAGGCTGCAAAACCAGCCAGTATGCAAAAGTCGTGCGAGCTCGGGAGCCGTCGCATGATACTTGCATGGAAGAAATCGAGCATACTTGCTCAAACGGTCAACGGCCGTGAGAATACCATCATGGCCAAGGCGATCGCGAGGGAAAGGACCGGTCACATCCATAGCAATGGAGAGACCTGGTTCCCGAGGAATCGACAATGGTTTCAGTTCGCCGTACGGGAGCTGATGGCGCCCTTTGTTCCGGTGGCGAACTGCACATGACTGAATGTACCGGTTGACGTCGTTCATGATGTCCAGCCAGTGAAATCGCTGGCGGAGTCGTGCAAGTGTGCGTGCGACGCCAAGGTGTCCCGCCAACCGTGAATCTTGGTATTCGCCAAGGAGGCGAGTGCGCAAGATGCGGTCTTGGGGAACACACAACAAGTCCGGTTGATCCGATGATAAGTTCGCGTAGAGTGTGGAGAATCCCGGATCTGACTTGTAGCCGTTTACGAAATGTTGTTGTAGGTCCTCATTGAGGCCGAATGTGGAATGCACCAAGGCGCAAAGATCGGGTCTTCGCGAGAGAGCATCCGTTGCCTTGTTCGAGGAGCCCGGGATGTGCTCGGAGGTGAAGTCGAACTGGTCAATGAAGTACATCCATCGACCAATCGTGCTGCTCACTGTGTTTTGCGTCTTGTAATAAGTCAACGGATTGTTGTCTGTTGGCCACGTGAATCGTCGACGCCCGAGGAGGAAGTGACGCCAACGCTTAAGTACGGTGACGAAAGCTAGGAGTTCCTTCTTCCTCGCATCATCAAGTGTATTGATGGGCGGCACCTTTTGGCTGAAGTTCTCAACCGGATGCCAGTCTGTGCCGTCATACTGTTCCAAAACCGTGCCAATGCCATAGCCGGAAGCGTCCGTAGTCACTTTGGTAGGCAAGGTCGGGTCATAGATGCTTAAGACGGGAGCTTGGAGCAAAGCCGTCTTCAGCGTATGGAACGCGTGCCGGGCTTCGTCGTTGAACTCGAAGGGCACCAAGGGGGAGTGAAGTCGCGACAATGGTGCAGCGATCCGTTGAAAACCTTTGACGAAGCGCATGTAGTATGATGCTAAGCCAAGAAAGGAGCGGACGTCGGTGGTAAACTTGAGGTCTGGCCAATCTTGAATGGCTTGTACTTTGTCTGCAAGCGGACGAATGCCTTGCGGAGTAACGTAGTGGCCTAAGTACTCCGACTCTTGTTGGGCAAACTCGCACTTGTCGCGGTTCGCCTTGTACTTGGCGATACGGAGCCGCTCCAAAACGACGCAAAGGTGGTCGAGGTGCTTGTCCAGCGTCCGGCTATAAACCAAGATATCATCAAGGTAAATTAGTACGATGTGGTCGAGCAAGTCGCAAAATTCCGTCGTCATAGCCGCTTGGAAAGTAGCCGGGGCATTGGTGAGACCGAAAGGCATGACGATCCACTCAAAGTGCCCATACCGCGTTTTGAATGCGGTTTTGTACCGATCTCTTGGCTGGATCTCGATCTGGTGGTATCCGGACTTGAGGTCAAGCTTCGAGAAGTACTTGGCGCCGCCTAGTCGCTCGAGAAGATCATCGATCCGAGGGAGAGGGTCGGCGTTCTTGATCGTTTGCGCGTTAAGTTTCCGATAATAGATGCACAAACGAAGGTCCTTGTTCTTCTTTCGGACGAAGAGAACAGGAGCACTGTATGGCGAACAGCTAGGGCGAATCCATCCCTTAGCCAAGAGATCATCTAGTTGTGCCCGAAGCACCTGAAGCTCCTCTTCGCTCATGCGGTAGATACATCCGCGCGGAGATACGGCGCCGTCCTCGAGAGTGATCCCGTGGCGTATGGGCCGATCCGGTACTACTCCGGCGGGAGCTTGGAAGACATCCTCATAGCTGTCCAACAACTCAATGATGCATGAGTTTGACGTATCTGTCTTGGGCTGATCACCAGGTGGGAGGGCGTGAAGAAAACATATGCCCATCTCCTCGATGTCGTTCTGCCGGATGGATTGGCGAATGCTCGCCGCGGAGACCACGTGACAACCAATCGAAGGATGAGGAAGCGGCACCGTACACAGGACTAGTTCGCCATGCCGATCACGAACGTGAACGGTGCGTTGATAGAAGTTCACTGGATGGTCTTCACTTTGCAGCCACGACATGCCTAAGAGCATATCGAATTTAGTGTCCAATATGTCGAATGACACGGCCTCGCATGCTAGCGGGGCAAAGTACACGGGCACGGAGTCACCGCAACGGTCGATTGACTTTTGCATGTGACCATCGGCCAACGTGACGTGCGTAGGCTGACTTTTCCTTCGAACGTGCGGGCCTAGCCCGGCGCGCGCCATGAAGTCTTGGCTGATGTAGTTGCGAGTCGCTCCACAATCGATCAAGGCACTGCAGGTCGCCTTTCCGATCTGAATGCGGACGTAGAGGAGCGGCGCGTTGATGTCGACGTATCGTTGCGTTGCGTACTCACGGTCGACCTTCGCTAGATAGTTACAAAGATCGCCAACCGCTACTCCGCCGTCCGTCGACGGAGGCGGTACTGCAGCGTGCAAGTGCTCGCGCAAATGTGCCATTAAAGCGTTGCAATGCGGTGTTGGCAAAGAACCGGTGGAGGGAAGAGGCAACCATTGGAAGTGATCAACCATCAATGGGTCGAGTTCCTCAAGACTCGCCCAAGTTGACGGATCCTCCGATAGAAGGGCTGGCGAAGCAACCGGTTCGTTGTCTGACGACGGAACTACCGCGCATGCGCTTGAATCTTGCACATGAAGAGGCTGGTTCAACGGTGGGACCAGCTTGACAGCATAGTTCTCAAAATCGATATGAGAACTTGCGACTACCGCATCATCCCCGGGTGTGAGAGAGACTGCTAGCAAGGCAGCCGACTCCGGCGGATTGGGAAGTGATGTCGCTGCACTTCCCGCGGTGCTCAGTTTCCCGAGCTTGGACGTTTGACATTCTCCTTGTCCTTGTCGAGGCATGCGCTGGTGATGTGTTTGGTGCTGTTGCACCAAAAACAACATCCCCATTTCTGTCGCAACTTGAACATGTCTTCGGTAATGCCGAACTTTGTCCATGGTGCCCGCCGTGCTCCATCCGCCGACGCTGGTTTTGCCTTTTGTTTTCCCCCTCGGGGTCTTGAGCGTTGCGGTGGTATCGCTGCCGCCACATCTCCGTCACTTTATGTAGACACGGTTGCGTGGTCCTCACTAGGTCCTTGTTGGACTGCTGCTACTTGCGGCGTCCGTTGACCTTTGCCTTTCTCCACATAACTGGGCTGTTGGCGGGCCTCGTTGGCTGCGCGTCGGTTACCTTGGATTAGTTCACTTGCCTCATGTCATCAAAGGTCTCATACTGGAATTCGCTGCCGAGAGCAGTTGTCAAGGCGTCGCATGACCGAGCGAAGAATTCGGCCCGGATTGCGTCGAACGGTAAGTTCAACTCCGGGGTGGCGACGAGTCTTTGCCACTCCGTCAGCCACTCCCGTGAAGGTTGCTGGCCTTGAAACATGCAGAAGATCTTGTTCAAGGCGTGATGCTTGTCGTTGTTGACCATGAACCGGGTCTTCCACTTCTTCTCGAGTTCCTCCCACGTAATCTTGGTGTGGAGGGTAGCGATGGTGCATTCCAACGTGACGGCCATGTGGGTTATGAAAGCCTGCGCCCCTCCGATGAGTTGGAGGTAGAGTGCGTCAAGCTGCCGTAGTTCTAGAGTGTGATGTACATCCGCCTCCGCGTTGAAAGCCATCCACCATTGCAGCGGATCAGTCTTGTGGTAGTCGTCGAACTTCTCGATCTTGAAGTTCGGCCTCTTCCATTCCTTGGCGACGGCGGCCGGTCGTTGCTGAACGTGGTCGCTGAGCGTCTGCAGCTGATTGCTGACCACGTGGTTGATCCGCTCCTCGAGTTGCTTGGCCTGCGCGGCCAAGGCTGGGCTGCAGTCTGCCACTGCGCTGCCCGTCGACGGAGCTGCCGACAGTCGTGTCAACCCCGTGCTGACATCGGACTGCAGCTGGTCGTTGATTGTCTGCTGCTGGTTGTTGGCGGCCTGTAGTGTGCTGATCTCGGCCTGCAGGGTAGCGATCTTCTTGTCCATTGCTTTAAACGTTGTTTCGTGGCGGATGAAGACCTGTGGCATGGCCAGCAGTTCACGTTGCTGCCAATTGCACGTGAACAGCAGATTCTCCATCAAAAATGTTGTGGCTTCCTTGTTTCTCTCGTCCTCGGTCGGCTCCTTTTGTTCCTCATTTGCTCGAAAATGTTGTTGTCGGAGTAACCTCCGGTACGTGGGTTCTTCGTTGGCGAGCTCCATTGTAGCTTGGTAACGAACTTGGTTTTGACTTGCCTCGACCTGCTGCTGTTGCAACCGTGCGGCTGCTGCAGCTTCTGCTGCGACCTGCTGACGTGCTGCCTCTGCCTCGGCCAGCTGGCATTGAATTTCCTGCTGGCGGGCGGCTTCCTCCTCTTCCCACTTGCTCACTTCAACTGCCGTGGTCTCCGAGTAGAACTGGAGACATTTGAGAAACGCAAGAAGCGGTTCATCGTCCTGCTGAACTGGGATCGGAGGGGTAACCGGCCTCTTGGGGCTGGCTTGTGCATTGACGTCAGCGGTAGCAGCCATGGTCGTGCGTCGCCTACGGGGGATCCAAGGTGTCTTAGGTCCCTGTTGGGGCTTGGTTCCTGCGGATCCGTGCTCCGCAAGTCGTTGACTGCGGCGCATTAAGTACTCTGGTCTTCGTCTGCTGCTGACGTGTCACCGCTAAGGTGGCACCTGCTGATGTGGCGCTGCTGAGGTGGCCGTTGCTGACTGGGCACTCGGCTGTCGTGGCACGCTGAGGTGGCACGCAGCTGATGTGGCAATCTGCGTTCGTGGCCCGCTGCTGATGTGGCCGGAGATTGACGTCCGTAGTACCGAGAGGAGGCGAGAGAGAAGGTAGGGGTGGAGGAAGGGTGAAGAGGCAAACAATGCACAGATAGTCCCTTTCTCCCCTGACCTCGAAATTTGACACTAATCAAAAGAAAAAAAAATTCCCCCTCGAAAATTTCAAATTTTGAGAAATTAAATAAATTTTAATCGTAAAAATACGAATTAATAAAATTTAATTTTGGCAAACGATTAAATATTTAATTAAAGAATATTGAAATTTGCAATAATTAATTTCCCAAAAGGTAAATATTTAATTAAAGAATATTTAAATTTGCACAAATAAAAATGAATAAAGTTTAAGCAAGTTGTAATGAACCCAAGTCCTGGTGATACTCGTTGATAATGCAAGTTCTCAATCGTTAACCAGCTGATGAGATATCAATCGTGAAATCGTTACCAGGTACAAAGAGATGGATAACATACACAGACGAATAAGCAAGAGGTTGGGAAGATAGACTTAGAGGGTGAAGAAGAATACTGTGCCCACTTCCTCTTCGGGCTTCCCTCTCAATGTCGCCACCTCAACAATGATTGGAACGATATCTGAAGTTCTCCTCAAAGTGTCATGTGGCACATCAATAGTCCATCATCAGCACTGGAGCATCATCAACATCAAGATAAACAGGTACGTATCTCTGATCCTTCCACAGTCGTGATCACCTCCTGAGTACGATGAATCAGAACAGCTGTATCTCTCCAATGTAGCCGCCACATCAGCACGAACACACGTGGCAGCGGCCACGTCAGCAGCAACGCGTGGCAGCTGCCACGTCAGCATACCAAGTAGACAAGAGCAAACCAGCCAGCATGTCTGGCAAGCAGCGTGCCGCTGTATCTCACAAGTGCCAGCCAGAAACCAGCGTCCAGCCAGCGTCTCAACATAGAGCCAGCGTCGTCGTCAAAGTAGAAAGTCAGCATTGACGCAACTGAATGAATGTCAAATGCTGGGGAGTCCGTCCTTATGTACTGTTGACTTGGGGGCTGAGCCCCGGATCCTGCCTCCCTCGATCGTCCAGATTTCAACACAGACGAGGGCTCAGATTATACCGAAACCGAATCTTCTTTGGCCTCGATGTTGTCTGGGTACCTGCACATCACAAGTGAGTGTATCTGGCCAAGGGCCTGTGCATGGTACCTTTGACTCTACAGTGGCCTTTGACCTTTGAATTTCCATCTGCAGCGTTCGGTCTCACAGCCGGACGCAGCAGTCTGGGCCTGGGCAGTGTCTGGTCACACAGCCTGACGCAGAACAGTAAGTTCTACGTGGCCTGGGGCGGGTCTGGGCCCCGTACAGACTTTCATGCATACGAATTACTGCAAAGTTTAAACATTTAAACATAACTTTACTAATTTCACGAAATTTTAATCGGGGGAATTTAGCATCATCTCGAGGTCAAGTAGAAGATGAATGGTAATAGGAAGATACACAATTTGCTGGAAAGATTCAACCTTTCAATGCAATAAAAGATGCATTTTGCAAAAAGTGAATGTTCCGTGAAGTTGCAGTTTGAATGTGGCCGTGCTCAGGCCCGATCTGCCTTAACGGGCGTGGTGCCTGGCTGTCACTAACTTCCCATAGGTTGATAGGCCGTTTAGATTAGGTTAGGACTAACCCTAATTAGCGCTAATTAGGTTACTCGTAATTAGCGATTTCCTAATTTGCACAATATGGAGAAAAGTTGCAAAACCTAAAATTATAATTTAACGACCTAATTACTATTTCAGTACAAGAAAAAGAAAAGAAAAAAAAAATTTGCAACTTGCGATTTAATGATAACAGAGTGCAGGTGTAGATAATCAATCAATCAATCAATCAATCAATCAATGGGGAGTCATCCAATGCTGGTCTGCTCCGATACCAAACTGTTGCATACTCGTGAAACACAGTCATAAGTATGTCGCAGATTCCCAGAACCAACCAGATAATACAGAGTAAATACAAATACAGCGGAAGACTTGAGATACATGGACTGACTCTGACCTGACTCGGACTGCAATCGAACACTCTCAATCATTCATCAGGGGTGTGAAAGCCCCGACCTTGGACATAGACGAAAGGCCAGGGTCTGAGATCATCCACGGACGAATGGAGGGAGGAGAGAGACGAAGGGAGGAGGAGAGGGAAGATGACGTCAACGCAATGTTTCCAAAGATAGTATCTTGAAATGTCAGAGATGGCGAAAGTCCGAAATGTCGCGAATACAGTGTCCCAGAATGTCTCAGATATCGATCTCACAATGTCAAGTACATCTCCAGAGGCAGATGAAATCAGATCCCACAAGTAGTCCTCAACCTGTAGTCCCAATGTCGTTGTCTCCAATGTTATCAGAATTCGTAACCATCTTTCATACTTATAGGAGTCCAGTAGGAGAACCCAGGAGAGGCGGTTAATGGAAGGCCGAATTTCGGCGAATTTTTCACCGAAATTGTCATATTTCCTTGAATTTTTACTCTTTTCTCAGTTTTTCTTTTTGCCTGTTATATATGTGCTTTAGGGTATATCTGTATTCAGTTTCGCCATATTTGAAGCAGTAACAAAAAACTTGTTTTTTTTATGTTTGTATTATGACCCTACATAGTTTGTTCGCAAAAGTTTCAACAACATCGCTTGTAGGGGCGCGGCGAAAAACCCCGAATTTTTGGCCTTCCATTAACCGCTAGTGGAACCCAGAAGTAGACTTAGAGTGAGAAGGTGGGAGGAGAGTGAGTGAGAGAGAGAGAGAGAGAGAGAGAGAGAGAGAGAGAGAGAGAGAGAGAGAGAGAGAGAGAGAGAGAGAGAGAGAGNAGAGAGAGAGAGAGAGAGAGAGAGAGAGAGAGAGAGAGAGAGAGAGAGAGAGAGAGAGAGAGAGAGAGCAGGGGGGCGGAGGAACAGAGGGAGAGAAGGCAAAGCCTTCCTCCCCAGTACCTGATCCGGTAGCTATGCCGCGGCAGGGCCGCTGCGCTGTTCCTTCTCGCCGCTGCGCTCATCTTCTCCTCGCTGCTCGTGCTAACGCTGCTGCGCTGTGCTAATCCTGAAGACTAACTCCAACCTCACTAACTTCTAACCCCCTACTGAGGCTGGTACCCAGCCTTTTGTAGTGTTGGGCCGGCCTCCTACCTGCTGGTACCTACCGGCCTGGACCGTTGATCTGATCAACGGTCCAGATTCGAACTGGACTTGGCGCCTAAACGCGGCAGCCTCTGAGCTGTGCCGCCGGTAGGTCCTATGCTGGACCGGTACCGGCCTTGTGGCCGTTGGCCTGGGCCTCTAGCCCTGGCCTGTCCGAAACGCCGTGCCCCTGGCCTACCTGGGCCTCATCTGAACCTTCGTCCCCTTAGGCCTACCCTGCCTACCCTGAACCGGGCCCTAACTGGGGCCCGTGTGGCTCAGAATGCCACAGGAGCTCACATATTCCAAGTAGAGGGCAGGATTTACCTCATGTCGCTGGGCTTGCGATGATGACACATCCTCGATTGTAGCCATGCGTGTAGGAGCTTGTAGTGTGCCTGTGCACACAGGATTGCAGATAGGGATCACTGTGGCTTGGCTCGCTGAGAGTGGCAACAGGAGCAGTGGTCTGCTCGAAGTACGTTCCGATGTACATGGGCTGCAGTCAGGCAATTCAAAGGTCTGCTTTGCAGCAGGGAGCTTGACAAGCTCGTGTCTTGGGACCAGCAGCAGAAGTGGAGAAGAAGGAAGTATGGAGGTTGAGGAGTAGAGGGGACACAGAGAAGCTCGGAGATGGTTCCCAGCGAGAGCAAATCTGGCCAGTTCGCCGAGCTGCAGGCGACTGGCGAGCGAGTTGAGGAATTGCGGAGCAGCAGCCGTGGTTGTAATAAAGAGTGTGGTGTGGCGTGGGTGTGTAAGGGTGGATCAGTCAGGGCAGTATGTTTACCGGGTGGGATGGATAGATGGGGGGGTATTGCAAAATAGGACTGGGTAGGAGTCGTCTGGGTATGGGGGACTGTGGGTGCGGGGAAGCCGTAGATCCTGGTTTATGGCATAGCATGGGTGGGTATTGCATGGTTTTAG